TGGTTTGTCTTCCAATACATCATCCAGCCCGTCAATACTGACTGGAGACGAAGCTGCCTTGTCTTGAGTCATGAACCTAACAGAAACCTTCCTCTGTGGGGAGCCTGGACGGGTGCTCACCCTCTCGGATCTCAAGCTTGACCCTAGCGAGGCATTTGAGTCCAGGCTGTGGCGTGGGCTGGAGACCAACTGTTCCTTTTCAAGTATCTTCTGGGTCGGGGGAACCTCCCCTGGTGCCTTTTGGCTTTCCCCATGATAAGGCCCTGGAGGTGTGCAATTGACGATTTTAGGAACCCGAGCCAGGTGGTACTCTTCATTGGTCCGACACTGCTGGCGCATGTTGTTCAGCTTTTCTACCACTTCGGGACATTTTGCTCGATGGAGTGGACTCGGATTCAGAAGCGAGTGGAGGACGAAATTCAAAAGATCATGTAAGTATGCTGTGCAGTTGATATCCTGATGTAATTGATCAATCCACTATACATGAATCTCGTCAGCACTTCTACGATGAGCATTGGACGTTGTGGCGGTAACTCACGCTTGAGACAGATCGTTTGAGTGATGCCGAACCATTTTCAATGACAAAGAATGTGTCTTCTTTGAACTCTTGGTTGGAATTCTTATTGTCCGAAAGCCGTTGTTCAACGAAGGAGTCATTCACAGCTTGGAAGCCTTTCAACAACCAGGTTATGAATTCTAGATAGACGCAGCCTAGGGTCCACATGTCCCATGCCTGAGAGATTCGGTTCTCTGGCATGTCACATTCTGGAGGTCTATATGTCGGAGTCCGCTCCATTTCTCCTGCCGGCATCGCTGATCTTGATTGTCGACTGTTGAATTGGGTCAAACCGAAATCCGAAATCTTGAGAACGCCATTGAAGGCATTGGGGCTGTGGTAATCTTTGAACCACAGTATGTTCTCGGGCTTGATATCGCTATGTCTACCATATGGACGTCTCCTGGATGATGATACTGAATCAACGCCAAGATTCTTAGAGTCGGAGCTGGACTGGTAATGATGGATCTTGCCGAGACCGACTGCTAGTCCATGACATTGGTCGGCAGTCCAAAGAGCCAGATTGCTGTCGATAGTTGGTTTGGGATGCGCCTCCCAAAACTTTCTCAGGTTGCCATCTGCCCATGGGAATATCAAGTGGTAACTGTTCATATGCTTGTAGGTTGCAAGCAGTTTGATGAGATGCTCATGAGAATTGATGCTAAATCTTTTCAGAGTCTCGACCTCCTTGTGGAATGCTTTTTCATCAGGTGAAAAAAGCTTTTTCACCGCAAAGTACGGATTGATCCCCTTCATACACATTCAAACGTTAGACGCCAGTAGCTTGTCAAAGGAGGTCTTACAGGTTACGACGTACCTCTGGCCTGTCAAAGCTGTGGTGAGATGAATGAATTCTGACCTTGAAAACAGTTCCATAACCACCCAATTGTGGATTTGAGAGGCTCCTTTCTTCTGACTCGACGAAAGGCAACAGGATCTTGGATTCCAAAGGGTAGTTCAGCACCTTGTTAACTTTGTCTGCTTTCGTGAAGATCGGAGAAAGCAAAGACCACTGGTTCCTCTCGAATGCCTCGACCTCGATGTGCTTCCACCCAGTGAATGCTTTGATTTTGTCGAATGGCTCGTTCTTTTGAAGAAGCTGGAAAGCACCATTCTTCCTTTCCAGCTTAAAAGGGAGGTCTTTGTCGCTGAGACCTTCTGCAATGAAATGGGCTATGGCCCTGGGCTTCTCAATCAAGAGAAGAATGGCAAAGAGCTTGAGCCCTGTTGTATACTTCTCCTCTGAGCTCCCGAGACGATGTTTGCGGCAGACGTATTCGGCAATCTTCTCCAAGCTGACATCGTTTATGTTCTGGTCGCTGTTGGGTCGTTGAAGTTCCTCGACGACAGATTCTTGGGTGATGAGAATTCTCAGGGCCTCGATTGGAACGAAAGATCCCTTTTCCTCATCTGGATGAACGATAGCTTGTGCTCTCAGCCTCGTGCCTAGACTTCCAGATTCTAGCTCCGGGAGTGAATGCGGTTGCGAACTTTCGTGAGCCGGAAATGCTTGTCCGGTCTGACCTACGAGATGGGCCTGGGTTTCTTTTGCAAGCTCTTCAACTGGCCCGTGCTTGAGCTCTTCGCTCCAGCCATAATCAAGTACTGTGCTACTCTCTGTCTCCAGACCAGGCCGCCTCTTGATGCCGGTGTCACTGTCTGCATCTTTATTGATGTTATCCGGCGTAGTGACAACCAGTCCGGGTATACGCTCTGGGGAAGTATCATCCTCTAGGTTAGGGGTAGCAATGTTGTTACCGCGCATTGCGGCAACTAATGGAAAAGCTTCAGAGCGCGCCTTTTGCACAGCCTGATACTCATCTGATAGCTGGTTTGTCAATCAGTGAACCACGTTCAAACATTTGGCCAAAAGCGCAACGCAGACCGCGTTGAGAATCCTATCTTACAAATGCGATGCCCAACCCGTTGCTGCCGCTGAAGCGTCTTGAAAACACCTCTTTCTCTGCGTCAGACTCACGGCCATCTCGGCCATCCACTTGTGCCCTATCGTCAGATTTGACTGCCTTTTGACGTCGTGGTGGCGACGTTTCGAGTTGTTTGTGATCAGCCATGAGGCCTCTTTTGTGGTGTACGCTACCACGAGTGCAGGCGGGAGTGCGTCGTGCTTGTGCTATAGACGTTCAAGGAGTTTGCGAGGGGCCAGAAAACTTCATATTGTTTCGTAGAGCCTCATTGACGGGGAGAAGGCTAGACAATTGCCCTCCATGGCTGAAGCTCAGCCGGACCTAATGTGACCAAGGTCGGTGGTGGTAATGCGCTAATGCAGCAAGCTCCGCTAGAAGGTGGTTATGCAAGTATTCACACCACTACGAAACAATACACTAACGCAGGATCTGATGGGTGTGATGGCATCTTCCTGCCAGCCTTAATGTGCCTAAAAACGTGATCCATCACGAAAGCCTTCAATGGGTATCACTTGCGCCGCAATGAACCGTCATTTGGGGCTGGCCTGCTGTAGCTTGGGATCGGATTCACGCGTTGACTGTGAATGCACTGCTTGGTTCGCATTCACCACTAAGTCAGCAGGTCACCAACAAATAGGGAGCGCCTGCCAGCTACAGGGGTTGCTCAATACTAGCCCAGGGAACCAAGAGGGTGCTGAGACGAGACGCATCATATCTGATTGCAGCCAATATGTCCGCAGGTTGCATATGTTGGAGGTGAATCAGAAAAGCCACGTCTGTCTTCGTTAAATCTTAAGTCGATCCCTTGGCCCCGAAATTCTAAGATCCGCTGAAGTCGTGACCTCACTCGAAGTACCAACTGCGGTGGTGTGTCAGCCAGCAGGCAGTGACGGATCAGGCTGCATCGATGAGCGGTAAGCAGCTTCAGAGGGCATTTATTCTAGACCAGTAAATACCGTGATGTCTCACTTCAGCTATGTTCCAGAAATCTAATCCACGCTTGCATGGGATGGTGTCAACGGCGCCAAATTTGGAAATACCTGTTTCGTTGTGATCAGTCAGGCTGGGGTTTTTCTACTTGCAACCGCCCTAAACGAGTTTCATGTTACTAAAGGTACTGGAGGAAGTTGGGGAACTGGGGGGCTAGTGTGGGGTCAGCTGATTTTTTGGAAGGTATTTATCATTGGCTACAGCGTCCACATACGCGTCGCTCGAGTGCCCGGTGAGGACTAACTGTAACAATGGCGGTGGCTATATCGTCAGCCGCAAAAATCAATAAAACCAGACCCAGACATTCTGGCTGCCTCGTGTGCACCTCAGACTGGTCGCCCCATCCTCCCACAAGCCCTTTTACCTCGACTGAACTGGGGACTGAAGTGGGCCAGCGGAGCCGGCTGGAATCGGGGGACCTGAAGTTCAGGTCTTGTACCACACGCCAGAACTCAAAGTCAAACTACGCTGGCATGTTTGTTCCCTAAATGCAGCCTGTGGACAGTCTGCTCGCCACTGCGCGCCCCTGAACCTAAGGTATGTCTCGCACATTTCACTCGATCCTCCTTTCTGAGAAGGGGAGCCTGGGGGAACGTTCGGTGACAGACGCATCCTGTGACCGTAGTCTTCCGAATGGCGGACTGAGCCCTCCCAAGGCACCCCCCCACCCCCCTGTACGAAGCTTTGTACCCGAACATGCTGACCCGGCAGTGACTACCCGTTTGGAATTCCTTCCCAATCACCCCTGGGCTCCAGTGCACCTGGTAAAACTGCCGGTAAGCCGTATAAAGTCCGAAGATACCTTCTCAGCTTTTCAGACTAGAAGGCATCATTGCTATAGTCTCTACATATCGCGAACACATTTCCACAATAACCTGATTCACAAGACAACTGAGCGTCACTCGGGTCTTATCTTCTACTGATTTCTTGCAATGAGTGTTAGCTGCGATGATCCCCAACGATCGAAGTGTACATCCGTGAATCAGCCAGCGGAGGTCGTAAGAAGCATACATTCTCGGTACATCAGAAACCCTTCTGTACTATCAAGAAGCTTGCGCGAGCATTACGGCTCTGGAAACTTCGCCATCGAGGTGAGTTTTTGGACTCGGACATTCCCGGCAGAACAATACCTAATGCAAGGCCACAGCTACGTCAGAACGTCTTCTCGATCAAGACTCCCCAAGCTATACCCGACAACATTCTCAACCCCAACTTGCGAAGGATGGCACACCAGGTGCCGGCATCATTATGAACAGAGTTTTTGGGGTGCTTGGATTAAATAACACAAGATACGCAAGTATCATAGGAGACCTGCCAGGTGGTTGGAGAGACTGCGGGGTGGCACGGAACACAATAGATTTGGTGTCTCTATTCAAGCTTAATGAAATGATAAGCCTTTAGCGAGCACAAGAAACAAGAACAGCCCGATTACATGTATTATAATTAGTCTCATTTGGCGGGCTAAATGCGAAGATCATGCGTGCCGCCTTCGTACTATCAGCCCCCCTGAAAAACGCATGCACTAGTTATCAAACTTGTGACATTGACTCGGAGCATTTCAGCCGTCTCGTAAGAAGTGCCAGTCGCTGACTGGAAATAGCATAGTAACCGCCGAGAATGAACAGACTGAGGCACGCAGAGAATGCAATCAGGACCCAAAAGTATGGCGAAATAATCGCCTGGTCATCTCTCGGAAACCAATTGAAAAAGTCCGTAGAGAAGATGGTCTAGAGTCAGTTTAAGTTAGACACACAGTAATCCTACCGGGAGCGGTACTTACAGCAACGAACATGCTTGGAAGAAAGATCATTGAAAACATTGAAATGTTTTGAATACGCTTCCCATCTCGCTTGGCGTCTAGGGCAATATGCATGTTGGTTTGCGCGTGCCACTGAATGTGATTTTCAATGATCAGTCCACCGGCATGGAGTTTGATATTTGTGTAGAATCTTACCAATTGGGTTGACATAGACACACCATCCACTCTCATCGTGCAATCGCGGATGTTCTCATCATACTCGTTCACGATGGAGCACAATCTGTTCTTGAACATATGGCCAATCCGAGCTGCTTTGTTTCCCTGGGGAATATTCTGGTGATGTTTCCCATTAGAGACCTCTGACTCCATATCGTAGCGTTGGAGAAGGTCTTCCGCATGCGTGAGCATATCATTCAACTGAGTCTTCCAGTTGACTAGACCGTTTCGAATCTCTGTGGCCTTGAACCATAGATCAAGTGGTTCGGCATTGTCGGTGGGTAGTGGCGCCTTCTCGTCCCCGTCTTGCGTACTCACAGTAGAAATAAAACTTTCCAAGTCATTCTGAGCCTCTTGAACGAGAACCTTTAGATGCCTCTCGCGCTCTAACTCGGCAAATATGCCTGGGAAAAGCAGAGGATGGTGAATTGCATCTTGGGCAAATCCTAACCTGTCCAAGATCTGTGTCTCAATCTCAGGCGTGGTTCCGAAAAATATGGCTGAAGTCGATCTACTCTTCAGACAGTGGGTGACTGTGAGTGCTATGTCGTTTGACCAATAGTTCGAAGACCGGCAATGATACACTGAAACGCCACAGCTGTCAGAGGATGATTCAAGCGTTTTCATGGATTTGCCAACCTAGTGCCGGTTGTGGATGGCTTTCATCCCCGAGATCCACTTCACCCGCTGAAAAGACTGCAACATCGCCTCGACTAATAACTCGAGAGATCCCACTGTGAATCAGAAGTCTCTCGGCAATGACTTGAAAACATTCGTATGAGAACGGGAGATATCGAATACTCTTTTCACGACTTAATGGAGTCTGACTCGTTGCTCTCCGAGCGAAGCTAACAGTGAAGGTAAGACCCGTGCACTTGAAGCGACTGCACGAGGGAAGGTAGATGGAGAACCTACAGCAGGACGATACCATCTGGACTCTGGTCGGCGTTCTGAGTTAACAGAGTTAGTCAAAGTAAGCTTCAGCACGTAAAAGACGCAAGTCTTGCAAGCGAGACTTACCTGTAGGGTCCATTGCTCTAAGTCTCGGTCTGCTAGAGTAAAATCTTGAACCTTGGCTCTTAGTCAGCCCTTACTCTTCAAATCATGGGCATCACCTCACGCACATCTTCGTCTGGAAGTACCCGAAGTACCCTCGCCAATTTCGGTTCGTATTGGAAGACCCTTTTCAGGTCTGTATCGCATCGATGCAACAGCGACCCATCCAGTAGCCAGTCCATAATGCAAAATATAGCGACTATGATAGAACAAGGTAAAAAGGGTGAACTTGAAATCGGGATAGATTATTGCATAGAGCCTGTCACGAATGATGATCACCTAATGGGTATTTGACTGACCCGGCATCCTCATTCCTGCAATGCTCTCCAGGTGCTGGCAATTCCCCGCCCTGGCAAGCCAGCAGACACATCCGGTTGTTAGCAATTTTACTCCTGCAAGACGATGACCACACAGAACTTGCAAAGCCTTGGATGCCATGTTGGCAAGGCATCTTTCGGTGGCCAGCAGGTGGGGGGTTGAGCTTCATCGAACCCCGCTTCTTGAGCGCTTTAACGTCCCATCGCGCAATGAACGTTGACGTGGTAAATATCAGGGAGAGCTCTGAAAAGTACCGTATGCAAGATTCGCAGACTGAACGCAACCATTCGAGCAGGCTCTGCTGCAGGCTGACTATGGTCCATTCAAGACCCGCGTTGAGAATGACGACCGTCCGGTGGAGCGGGGGTTCCGCCCTACGATTTGAAGCGCCCCGACTAGCAGGACGATGCCGCATTATGCGGCGGTGCCCAACAAAGCCCTGCGCCGGCATTCTGCCTGATTCATAGACGGCAGGACGGCAGGATGCGAGCCATATCCAAGGACCACAAAACCCAATTGTAACAAACGAATAAGGCATCAGGGGTTCCCTCAGACACGACATATAGACGGCGCACGATAAAAGGACTGACCTATCGCACCACGCACCGAAAGCGACCCGGGACAATCTCACACCCCAAGCCAGAAGAGCACATTTTATATCTCATCACTACCTTTCTGCCAAGGTGTCCAGCCAAGATGGTCAAGCAAATCATTGATGGTCGATACGTGGATGAAACCATACTGCAGCAGAAGCTCCGGGAATTCTTCCCAAAAGGCAGTGTCTCAACAATAGTAGGCTAGACTCATCGAATGCCGAAATTCCTGAAAAAACGCTTATCTCATTTTGGTTCCCAGTATCGACGAGGGAAGTGGCAGATAACAGTTCCCCGCGACCTAACAAAGGCAGGTCTAGATCTTTTCGGGCACGGTCACCTGGACTGACATGGTTTCATTGTCTAGGAAGAAGAGCAGAATATCCATGACGCAATGGGACACTACGCTTCAACTGAAAAAGTTTCACGAGAGTCGGGAACTCGTTAGGGACATATTTTCAAGCATCCCGATAGGTTTCTGCTGTAATGTGATCAAAAGCACGAAGATGAGGCTGAGACTCTTTCGATTTTAACTTAGAAGGGAAGAAAAGACTTTCCCAATGTTATGAGACTGACGTGTATGTCGTCCAAGCAGCATCACGCCATATAGTAAAATTAGACATTGTTCCATGCCCATAGATAGTTGATGTATATTCAATGGCGCATTACAAGTACAGACCCATGATGTTAGTTCCTGTGAGGTCCAGTGCCAGCATCTGGAAACAGATGATTGCCGAGGCCGGTCCGTTGCCTCGGCGGCTCCTCCGTACGCCCCAAATGGGTCCTTAAGTTCGGATGTGATTGCTTGATGGAATCAAGAGCGTCCGAGGTGAGTGTTACTTTGACTGCTGCTGATTCCTGACACGTCTCTGGCAGGGCCCATGGGACTGCATCAATACAATATCCCTCCCTGCGAGCGCATTGCTCCTCAAGCTTTTGCAGTCGAGAGAAGACCACATTACAAGGCGCCCTCTTTTTGGTTGCTGACTCGACAATCAACATTTCCTCCTCGACAAACTGCAAGAGGTCGTGTATGTATTGAGTACAACCAGTATGGTTATGTAGCCCCTGAAACCACTATGAAAAGACTTAATGATGGGTTCATTCTCGTATAAATGACCACTTACCCTTGTGACCTTTGGCTTAATTTGGGCGCCCATGCTGCCAGCTCCATCCAATTCTTGTTGTCGAAGATCGACAATGTCAAAAAAGAGATCTGACATAACATTTTGACCCCATATGGAAGTTGGGGTTTGGCGATAGTCGGTAAATCTCTCAAGCAGATACGAGCCACCTAGCATCCACGTGGCGAATTCAACGAAAACACATCCCAATGTCCAAATATCCCATGATCTAGAGATATGAGCTCCTTCGATATCGCATTCAGGCGGTCTATAGCTGGGCGTACGACCGATCCCTGATGTGTTTGGTATTCCAGACCGGCTGGCTCTGGTGTGGAAGGCTCCGAGACCAAAGTCAGAAATAACCAATTTTCCCATGTCCTCAGCATGGCTCTTGAACCAAAGGACATTTTCAGGTTTGATATCGCCGTGCCGTCCATATCGAGCCGCGTTTTCCGCGTTGCCCTCGACCCTGCCAGGATAATCGTGGATCCGTGCCAGACCATCGGCCATTCCGGCAGTCTGTCTCGCAACCCATTGAACCAGATGTCGGCTCATGGTAGGTTCCGAATTCACTTCTTCCCAGTATCTTAACAAATCACAATCTGCCCACGGAAATAAAAAGTGGAAAAAGCCCTTTTGACTCCACGTGGTCAAGAGAGATATAAGATGAGGGTGAGAATTATCGCTCTCGAACTTGCGAAGGTTTTGGAGTTCTCGTTGGAAAGCGCTCATATCTGACGACTTAAGCTTTTTCAACGCAAAGAAGCACTTTTAATCTGTCAGTAACGAGACTGTCTGAGGAATTTTAACCTACTCACCTCTGGGTCTGTTTGATCAAAATCATGGTGTCGCGGATGGATTTGAATCTTGAACACCTCGCTGTAGCCGCCGACCCCACCATTTTCATGCGGACTGCACTCTGACATGAGCGGTAGGATGACTCTATCATCAAACTTCCGGTACTGGGCTTCGGTCCCAGAAACTCTCGATAGAATGGGGACACTCAATGTCCATTGCCAGTCATCAAACGATTTCAGGGCATTGTGATTCCATTTCAGGAAACATATGAGTGGGACGTCGAGAGCATTACGCTTACGAAGATCAATATTGCCGTTTTCGTCAGAGTTGACCCTTTGCAGCGGCAAGTCTTCGTCGCAAACACCTGTGACAGGCTTGAGAAACCGTCTGACCGACCGGACCTTGTCTATAAGGCAAAGAAGAGCAAAGACCTTACGATAAGATGGCCTATTCTTGTCTTGGTGGCAAATATCATGTGCAAGACGGTTAAGATCATCTGGGTTGTCGTCTTCGAACTCATTATCGAGCTCTTGCCTGACAGTTTCAAAGCATACAATATTCTCCAGGTAGCCGGCCGGAAGATAGCCCTCCGTCACCTCAGGTTGTGGGTGTTTTTGAAAATGACGCCTGAGTAACGCTTCTAATGCAAGGTCGGCATGAGAGCTCCCCGGGCCAGGGCAAATTGGCCCGGGTGCCTCCTCATTGGCCCTGTTGCGACGGCCTACGCTCGTTTGCTCACTCGCCGCCGATTGGTGCTGCCTGGAGATAGTCTCGAGAACAGGATTGCCACGGATTGCGTCTAAGGACGGATTGGGCTCCTGTCTCGGGACGTCAAAATATGAATCAATCGCTCATTTGCTTTAAGATTAAGTCATTCTTACAATTACAATGCTTGGTAGTGGTGGGCCCAAGTCGTCGCTCAGTGTGCGTGAATGATGGTAAGGCGAGAAGTCTTCTTCTCGCCGCTGGGCCATGATGTCTGCTTCCATGTGACGCAACGGGATCTAGCAGTACTGAATCAAGTCGCGTGAATAATACCATGGGTCAGCGTCGGATGTGTCATATGTGTGAGTGAACTGCAGTTAGGTGTGTCAGAGAAGGGTCGGTCTTTTTTGTGACCCCCTCGATACGGCGCGAAAGGATGACTACTTGGGTACGAAAGACGAAGGCAAACAGGCGAAGTCGCCGATTGTTTGCCTTGTGTTGCCCACTGGCGAACCACCGGAGCACAGCCTGATCTACCGACCCTTCTGATTCCAAAGGGAGGCAGGCTGTGCATCGACCGGGCCATCCGCTTGCCCCCACGAGCAAGACCTCTTGTCGGTGACGAAAATGGCCAGCTGACGGGTCTGCAGGCAGACTGTCATTCCACCGCTTCGCACCAGAAGAATTGGCATTTTCCTTCTATTTGTGGGCCCAACTGCGCACTACTGCAACTGCAGTACAGGTGTGTAGGGCCTGCAGGCGCTATTCGGTCGATGTTGGTGAATTTTCGGGGCGGGTAATGCAGGGGTTTACAGCTGCAAGTCTGGTTGGTTTGAATCAGGCTGCCAGCCTCCTGGGCTGTCGAGGCAAAACAATCGACGGATATGCCCTGTCTTCTGATGGCATTCTAGGTGTCACCTCATGTTACTCACCCCTGCTGTTTGCAATACGCCGGGCCGATGTACAAAAGTTGTGATTGGTGAAAATCGTCGACCCCACTAGCCCCTTGCCAGTCTCTCAAGCCCATTTCATGCCCACGGTGCCCGTCTGCCCTACGCACCTGTGCCCTCCATTTTTTCTCCGTCGTTTGACTGATGCAAAGTCGATACCCTTGATTTGAAGAAATGGATAGCAGTTTCACGACAAGCCGCCAGCAGAGTCACCATGCATCTCAGACCACCATATCGGGGAACTCAATTGCCCCAGATCGATTGTCTCAGTACCTGCGGATAGAGTTCCATCAACAACCCTTCGAGATCGAGTCGAGAAGAAATTCCTACGTGATTCGAGGTCCCCGTGGTCTTTCACCGGTATGTGTGTCCTTTACGACTTGAGAGCAATGTGCTGATCTTGGTGGCAATCATGAAGGGAGAACTTCAGAAGCTGCGCACTAAACGCACGTAGATGTACACATACAAAATGGTTATGACCTGATTGTGGAAGTTCTCGGATTTTTTTGCCCTTGTTTCCGTGCTTTGGTTGGGGAGTTTGGGCGCACAGCAATCTAACGTATGTAAAAATTGTTGGTAGAGCCTCTAGTCTTTTGCGCCGGTCAATGTTCAAACTCGATTATGAACATCCATGAGTACATCAACGTCTCAATGGATTTTGCTTGCCAAACATGTAGTTAGCGGTGTATGATTTCATTTGTTGAATTCAAATTCTATGAAGCAACTAATCAGTAGTGCTGGGACCCGAACAACTCTTTGCAAGACTTATGATTAAGCACGATAAATGCCGGCAACGCACTGTTCTATTAGCACGAAGCCTGCGTTACTTTCGGGAATTCCACAACAGTCTCGTAACGATGATTGTGTTGAATGATGATGAAATCATCTTCATGGTAGCTCGGAGGGAGTTTTCAAAACTAAACATCATTAAAATACGTGCCAGGTGAATTCATAAACAGTTTCGGCTAATATTTTGACGGTATAATGACGAAATCCCGTCATTTGACGAGTTAATTTTCCTAAAGTCGAATTCCGTGTCAGGATGCTGCAAATTTTGACTGGAATTGATATGAGGCAAGAGTGGTCAAAGAATCCTTGATATCAATCTGACCTATTTTTCGCTCCTTACCAACAGCCGTACTCGTTTTCTCCTGTCCTCCGTACCATCATGCTCATCCTCGTCCAAACTCTTTTTCTGTCTCTCGTGTGGGTTGGCACTATGTGTTGTAGCACTGCTTGCTCGCACGCGGTCGTTTTCTACACTTGGTGGCTTTCTTAAAGTATCGAATGCAGCCGCAGACATGTCCGATACGAGCTTCGGGGTATTCTCTATTGGGCTCACTGGTCGGGGGCGATTTTCATCGAATTTGCTTTCACTGTCCAATGTAGACAGTGTCTTGTCGACATCCGCGGCGTCGGTCCTATTGCGTGGCTTGGGACAGCCTTGAAATGCGTATACACTGTCGTCCTCGCACAAGCTGGCCATTTTTTGCAGCTTGCTCACTACCGCATCGCATTTATCTCGTTGGCCGGGAGAGATACAAATCATGTGGTGTAAGATATACGTGAGTAGGCTATGGAAGAATAATGAGCAGTCTGGATGGTTGTGCAGGCTTTCAATAAGCTGAAATTCCAGGTCAGTACCGCCTGTTCATTAAAAACATTACAAGGAGTTCAGATGACTCACCGTCGTCACCGAAGGTTTCAATACGGCCCCGGAACCTTTCCCTTGCTCATATATAATGTTGAAGAATGTGTCCATTGGAATTTCGTGGTCTGGATCGTGGCTGTCTTGAGCGCGTTCGACTGAAAAATTGTCAACACCTTCCCAGCCCTTGAAATACCACACAACGAACTCCAGCAAAAGCATGCCCAGAGTCCAAATGTCATAGGCTTGAGACACGCTGGAGTGGACGTCGACCTCGGGTGCCTTGTAAGTCAAAGAAAACCTCTCCATGCCCTGAAACTTAACAATTTGACTTGATAGACCACGGTGGTATCTAGTCAAACCAAAATCTGAAATTCTCAAGTGACCTCCGCCAAAGAATTCACGCTCTGGCGGATCATCACAGAACCACAACACATTTTCTGGCTTTAGATCTCCATGCCGTCCAAAGTCTTCAGCGCCCATGAGGTTTGCGCCTGCGTCCTTGGGTGGATGTTGAATCAATTGAAGCCCTGACGCAATTCCGCATGCCTGTTGGGCCAACCACACAACAAGCTTATGGACTCTCTGGGGGGTATTGTATCGCTGCCATAATTCACGCAGGTTGCCATCAGCCCATGGAAACATAAAATAGTAATGCTCCATGTAATGGTAGGTTGCTAGAAGTTTGACCACGTGCGGATGATCTTGACGATTGAACTTCTTAAATGCGATGAGCTCTTGGTCGAACTCTTGCTTGTCTTTGCTATGCAACTTCTTAATCGCAAAAGCAGGATTTGCTATCTAGATCTTGCAGTTAGCAAATCTTCAAAGTTGGGATACCACCAGTGGTAAAAGAGGGGCATCTAACAGTATCGTAGTTATGATGAGCTGCATGGATCTTTCTGTGAAAAACGTCGCCGAGGCTTCCGAATGCAGTGTCCAGCGGCGAACTCTCAAATTCCACAAAAGGAAGAACTGTTTTCGACTCGAAAGAGTAGAATATAGGCTCGGTGGCGCTCATGTCGAAGAATGGCGATAGGAATATCCACTGCTCCTTGGCGAACGCAAGCAACTTTGGTTTCGACCACTTGCGACTTCCTTCAAATTCCACGAGCCCACCATCGGCAGCTCTGTAGCAAAAATGCCACGGTGACTCCCGTTGCAATTCTAGTGGAAGATGTAAATCATGGAGACCTTCGGCTATTAGATCCGGTAGAGCGTTCAAGTGCTCGATTCGAACCAGGGTGGCAAACAATTTCTTTCTTGTTGTTGTCTGGTTACCTTCAACCTCTGTTGCATCGCATACGTGGTTTGCGTACTCATGTATTGCGTCAACGGGAAGTCCTAGCTGCTTCTTCAACGCTCGACGGACGTTTGGCCTCGATATAATCCTGTGGAGATCGTCTAGAGGAAGGAATTCCTTGCTCCCATCTGGTGGCGGTGACACAAGCTTTTCGTCAATCTGCTCCCAAATACCCCCAAAGACGCTCTCATCGTCAGACTCATCATCCGGTCTCAGAAACGTGGAAAGAAATCTCGGATCATCCGATATTGGGGTGGAGTGGTTGGTGTGAGCCTCGATTGTGTGCAAATCCGAGGGCGGTACTTTGTCTCCTTGTTGTGACGAGGACGATTTGGCGAAGGAGAAAGAAACACTGTCCAGTTCGTCGCGAGGACTTCTGGCTACTGATTCTTCTTTCGATGCTCTCAGGTTGACCGAATGCCCACCAGAAATATTTTGCGTGTCTCCCTCTTGGTCAAGATCGATGCTCAGCGTTTGGAAACACAATACCCTCAGGTGACCAGCAATGTGCTTAGATAATTTAGCTCTTCTCGCAGATGATGCTGAGTCTCGGTCAACGACTCTGTCTGCACGAAACTCCGGTTTTATTTCGGTCGTGCCGTCCAAGAAACTCTCAGAAAACCTGACTTTTCGCTTCGGTTTTATCACCGTTGTATTTTCGATGTCATGCCGACCTGACTTCGAGTCGTCTACTATGGCGTCGCCAGTATCCTGATTTGTGACAGACATGTCCACAGGCATTTTGCAAAGTAGGCATGTAGTATCTGTGTCTCCAGAAATGGATTCGTCGGGTCTTCTTCTAGTACGGCCTTCAGATGAGTGATGGATCCGGTGCATCCAATCTATGCCATGATCACTCTCCATATGCTTTCGCCATAGAGAGTACTTTGAAAACCCAACAGGTGGATTTGCGCATTCCTCTGCAATGCAAACAAAAACGTCGAGGTCTTCGTCTACATGTTTCCTATGCTATGAATTAACTCAAATTCTTTCTCGATGGGAACTTTGATTCTATGTTGAAGAGACTTTCGGTAGAATTGATGAAAAGGTAGTGGAGAGCGGATGTCAAGGAAAACATGAGGAATAGCGTAAAGTGGGAGCTTACCTCCACCATTTCTCATCCTTGAGGTCCTTGTATACATACATCTTGCCACAAAACTGACATTGCAGCTTCCTCTCGGCATTCATTTCGCTGAGACCTTCGTCGAGAGACGGGGGCTTCGGATATTCCACTTCAACTTCGCCTGCCCATGATGATACCGTGCTAACAGGCCTTTGCGGGCTTGCAGTTTGTTTCTTTCGCTCAAGGCCCTGAAGTCGCTTAAAGTCTTCGCTGATGAATGTGGAAGGGTGCATTGATGGCGGATT